TTACGCTATACAGCCAATAATTTACCATCCTGCAAATATCTGGATTGCTTTGAAAATTAAGGCAGCCAATAGGGAGGTGCTATGTTTGAAAGATCTAATGAGATCTCATACGGAGATAAGCTTAACCAATGGTAAGTGCAAGGAAGCGATACACTATCTCCAGCTACGAGAATTGGCGCAGGTAATCATGTAGTTGAGAAAGAGTGCGGATACTCAAGTGGTTGATTGCTACGAGACCGTTGGTACTCAAGTAGTCGATTGCTACGAGACCGTTGGTACTCAAGTGGTCGATTGCTACGAGACCGTTGGTACTGAAGTAGTCGATTGCTACGAGACCGTTGGTACTGAAGTAGTCGATTGCTACGAGACCGTTGGTACTCAAGTAGTCGATTGCTACGAGACCGTTGGTACTCAAGTAGTCGATTGCTACGAGACCGTTGGTACTCAAGTAGTCGATTGCTACGAGACCGTTGGTACTCAAGTAGTCGATTGCTACGAGATCGTTGGTACTCAAGTGGTTGATTGCTACGAGAAACAGCGCGGGACCTCAAGTGCATTGTGAAGGACAGTTCTTCAATGTGCTATTTGCTGCCTGTTCTGGGGGGGGGGGGTAGGGGGAGGGGCTAGACAAGAATCACCAGTATCGAGATCATCTCTCAGCAGTGTCGTGCAGGCGGCTACGCTTCCTTTACATATCAGGAAAACTATTACTCGGCCAGATATTGGAGTCTGTACCTGGGCAAGGCACATTTGTGGGAGTGAAACGCGTCGTTACCAGAGTGTAAGTTTTACATGCATGGGGATGGATCTGGATATGAGCTTGGGGCAGAAGACAGGGTTGAGGATAGGACTTGGATTGGGGAGAGGGCTGGGATAGGATCGGGTAAGGGCTAAGGCTAGGACTAAGGTGAGGATTGGGAGATAGGTTTGGAGCTTCGAATCTTGTACGTCGTATCACGTCCATTCTCACAATCTCACAAATCATGTAAAATTCTATGAGTGTGTGTGTGTGGGGGCGGGCGAGGGGGGGAACGAGGGGGATGTGAATGGAGAAGGGAAGGAGGAATATATTAAAAAATTTAAAGACACAACGAACATATTATTGAAATTACTTGTCACCAGTTATGTGAAACGGAATACAGTATTTTACAGTAATAATTTGCAAAACATAATAACTTTTACAGTTAAATTTACTTGCAGGCGATGAGTCACAATAATGTGGCTGAAGTAATTCTCAGTCGACTTGAGAACGGTCCAGGACGGACCGAAACGTCGTCGTCCCTTCACCTTCTAGTGTGTTGTCTGGTCAAATTAAATTTACTTATTTACGGATCCGTAGTAAATACGAACATAATTCTAGCATTTAAACTTACCTATATTTCACAGCAAGAGATCTACGGTCTCTAATACCACCTTCAAGTTTCCAATGATTGAGCAAAAAGAAAGATAATCGCTTGAGAGTAGAATAAACGTTCTCCGTCCCGGGAAATATATACAGAACAACAAGGTTGTCTCCCTTACACACACCACTACGTCACGGACAATATTATTAGATCAGAATAATATCTGGTGTTTTGTACCACCAGTCTAGCCCCAGAACTCTGAGGAATAAGCTAAAACTAAAAAAATAAATGAAACTAAACCTCACGACTCTGGTAGAGAGAAGAATTATGAGAGATATATTTGACAGATACAAAATACTTGAGTACCAGACACAGCAGACGGGAATAGACTCGTTGCCTCAGGTGGTACACGAACATGGAGACACATGTGAAAACTAAATACTCAAATGAACCACAGAAACTTTAGATATAAATGTTTTGGTGTTAGAGTAGTGAATAGATGGAATAAGCAAGGGCGGGAAGTGGTGGACTCTATACACAGCATTATGTGTATATAAGTCAGAGCTCAGCAGACTTGCAACCTGAAGCTCAACCCTCGCAAGCCCTATTGGGTGAGCGGCTTTGATAATTTCAGACTGTCAGAAACAGTTTACACTCTTGCTTAAGAGACATGGGGCCAGATTCACGAAGCAGTTACGCCAGTACTTACGAACGTGCGCATCTTTCCTCAATCTTTGACGACTTTGGTTACATTTATTAAACAGTTTACAAGCATGAAAACTTCCCAATTAACTGTTGTTATTGTTATAAACAGCCTCCTGGTGCTTCGGAGCTCATTAACTGTTTAATAATTGTAAACAAAGCCGCCAAAGATTGAGAAAAGATGTACAGGTTCGTCAGTGCTTGCGTAACTGCTTCCTGAATCTGGCCCCATGTCTTCAAGCTAGCCGGCATAACTTGCAAAACGCTAAATTATATGCTAGCTAAATGCAAATGGGAAACAAACAGTAAGAGAGAAAGATAGGAATGGGGAACGTCATTAGTAGAGCCCAACAGTGATCAGTGGTAAAGGAATTAAGATAATACTCAAAGAAGAAACATTGAAACCGAAGAACAGCGAATGAGGAAACAGAAATGGAAACTAGTGGCAGAAGCCAGTGTCGAACAGTGTCTTCAGTGCAAGAACTGTACCTAAATAGATTAAAATGGGTTAGATAAAGAAGCCGTGAAGCAAACTCTCACTATGATATATCAAATGTAATTATTATACAAAATCTAAGAACAGTATTATTGCATTAAACTACAAATAATTAAAGAAGTGGGATTGATGAGTTGATCCCAAAGTCTACAAGCACATCCGGGCGGGCACATTCAGACGAGCACATCCGGGCGGGTACATTCAGACGAGCACATCCGGGCGGGTACATTCAGACGAGTTTATCCGGGCGGGTACATTCAGACGAGCACATCCGGGCGGGTACATTCAGACTAGCACATCCGGGCGGGTACATTCAGACGAGCACATCCACTTACACTTTCACTCACAAATAAAAATGGGTTTAAGCTTCATATGTCACTCCCTGAAGGGAGGAAAACTTCAACGTTATTAGACATTCTAATCCATACAAAAATGGGATTAAGGGCCTTTTCAACAGAGATGCGAGGCGCGAATAAGGAATGTTATTCTGACGTGCAAAGAAAACCAACACCTTCGAATGACGTCCTGAAGTCATATAATCTCAGATCTCTCTCCCAAGTGAGAGGGTGAGCTGCCTCGGGACAGCAAGATGATGAAAACCTTCACTGAGGAAGAGAGCAGTGAGCCGCTAGCGAAGTCAAGAGCGAGAGCCTCCCTGGAGGATATAGTGAAGGAAATCCTGTGGAGCCGTGAAAAACATCTTAGTGAAGGCAGAAGAAGGAAGACGATAGGAATAACCAGGACGAGGCAAGAAGTAGAGAATGATTCATTCATTTAAGGAAGGAAGGAAGGAAGGAAGGAAGAAAGAAAGAAAGAAAGAAAGAAAGAAAGAAAGAAAGAAAGAAAGAAAGAAAGAAAGAAAGAAAGAAAGAAAGAAAGAAAGAAAGAAAGAAAGAAAGAAAGAAAGAAAGAAAGAAAGAAAGAAAGAAAGAAAGAAAGAAAGAAAGAAAGAAAGGGAGGAAGGAAGGAAGGAAGGAAGGCTGAGAAGCAATTTGTAGAGGAAGAAAGAAAAAAAGATAGCTTTTACGTTGGAGACACTAGAAGGTAGAGAAGCCGTCTAGGGAAAGATAAAAGAGCCACATCGAGGCTGTGGATGGAAGAGAAGAGCCGGCGGGAAAAACTAGAGGGAAGAGAGGAGGAAGAAGAACGAGACACTGAAAGACGATAACGGGAGGAAAAATGCCTCATAAAATATGAACTGGTGAAAAGTTAAACACAGAAGCCACCTTGAAGGTTAAAAATAAAAGATAACTGGAGGATCATGAAGTAAAAAAGCCACCTGGAGGGCCAAGAAGAACCAAATAAGCCACTTGCAGGGTTATAAGGAAAAACTCAGGGTCAAGAAGAAGTAACTTGGATAGCCAAAGTGAAGAAGTAACTTGGATAGCCAAAGTGAAGAAGTAACTTGGATAGCCAAAGTGAAGAAGTAACTTGGATAGCCAAAGTGAAGAAGTCACTTGGATGGTCAGTAAGAGGGACAAGAGATCACCAGAAGGGTCAATAAGACGAAAACATGTACATAAGACAATAACACAAAAGTAACATGCTGTCCTTTTGTCAGGGTATTACAGAGGAGCACAGACAATCCCTACGTATGGTTATCTTGAGGTTATCTTGAGATGATTTCGGGGCTTTAGTGTCCCCGCGGCCCGGTCCTCGACCAGGCCTCCACCCCCAGGAAGCAGCCCGTGACAGCTGACTAACTCTCAGGTACCTATTTACTGCTAGGTAACAGGGGCATTCAGGGTGAAAGAAACTTTTGCCCATTTGTTTCTGCCTCGTGCGGGAATCCAACCCGCGCCACAGAATTACGAGTCCTGCGCGCTATCTACCAGGCTACGAGGCCCCCTCGTAGCCAATCATCTACAGTTCCGTATATTAACAACCCAATTTCCAAACCGGTGTTTTCTTAGGTCTTTTCTGAATGTAAACTTATTCAATGTATGCAGTGCATGTGGCGCAGTGGTAAGACTCTCGCCCGCGCTTCGCAAGCGATTTGGCCAGGGTTCGTATTCTGGCTGGGGAGGATTGACTAGGTGCCAATCCTTAACTGTACGCCTCTGCATAACTTCAATACCCCAAGGCCATACTCAGGAACCTATACAAATTATCATTATATGCTTCTTATCACACAATAACTATACCGCAATAAGTCGATGCTCCTGATTGCACTCCTCACAGTTCAGTTGATTCCTTAATATCGGCCGCAACTGATGGCACTTTGCCAATAGTTATCGATGAAGTATGACCCAGAGGCCGTGTTTATCTCCGGAAGTCTATCAATACAAGAGACCCCCGGGGAGTGTTTTGCGTGCACAGTATTGGCGAGGTTCAGCCTGAAACACTATAAACTTCGACATTATGAGCTTGTGTTGCGGTGTTGCTTCTACATATGCAATAAACTTATTATTTAATTGCGTCTGTGTGTATTTACTTGACTGCACCTGCAGAGTAATCTTTTACCACATTTCTATTGTCTCAAGCTTTGGTGTGGTGAAAGCTTTGCTTTCTTTAGGTAATGCTTCCATATTTCTAATGCATATTCTTATACTGGTCTCACGTAGGTGCCGTACAGTTATCTTAAGGCCATCATGCACAGGTTCCTGCAGAATAATAAAATATTCACCAGTTTCGAGTAAACATTTGACGTTATGTTCATTGCTTATACGACGTGTACAATTGTTTATGATATAAACTCCTAGGATTTGTTTTACTGACTGGCAAGTTCTGTTAGTTCACTGTCCTCTGTACAAACGTCTCCTGTCTCCTACTTTATTTATCATTACTTAGCATTTATTAAAGTTAAAATCAGGTAGTCATTTTAACAATCAACTTCATAGTTTTCCAGATCCTTCTGAAAAATGCAGGAGCTCTAAGCCAAGGAAATGCTAATAGAGTTACCAGGAATCTTAACAATTCTGAACTTGCCAAATCAGAAAAAAATATCTGGGTTTCATGATTCGCAGAAGTTATCAATGTTCCAATATTTAAAATAAGATAAATAGGATAACAGGATTCATAAAAAGAAGTGTTAATATTAAGACAATGTTTTGTGTTATTCTTTAATTTTAATTTTATTTACTTAATCTTGTTTTTCTTTGATCACCGTTAGTCTAGCAAAAAGCTTGGCTATGTTTGTCAAACAGAATTTTCATTCACAATCCTCTACAGGTGCGATGTCTTGAGTTTTCTTAATAATGAACAAATCCACAAGGGCCGTGACAAGGATTCGAACCTGCGTCCGGGAGCATCCCAGACACTGCCTTAATCGACTGAGCTACGACAGGGTTATGTGTTTCTTGATAACATTTCAAGTATCGTACAGGGAATGTTTGTCATTGACAGAAATCTATAGTTCAAAGTCTCTTGGCTCTTCCCTATATTATATATTGGTATCACATTAGCCCTTAAGTCTATCACAGTCTACTGAAGAACAGTATGTCCTCTCGAATGGTTCGCATATTGCTTATTCAATTTCTTTTAGTACTCTTGGCAAGATTTTAAGTGAGCCACCAGCCTTTGTTACGTCAAGTTGCTAATGCTGCTTCTTCGCCTCGCCCTCCATCACTTCTATTGTGTTCTTATTGGCTTCTGAGAATTGTTCCAGGAGCAGTCCTGAAAACTTCGATGACTTGGATGAGATCTTATCGTTCTCGGCTCTGTCTGGCTGTCTAGTCATTTACTATTTTCTTGCCAATATGGATACGAGAAAGTTTTGATTGGGTCCTGGTCAATTATGTTTCGTCATGCGTGTGTGACTGTGCGCAGTCGCGTGATTTCATCTAGCCTTATCAACCTGAACTTGTGTGGGCTGAGCTTACACAAACATCACAGATCCCTGAACCTTTGGGCTCTTGTCACATCTACGACTGAATCTGCATATGTAGTTTGCCTTCTCCACTTCGCCCCTTAGTTCATTATTCATTTACTCCAATGATATTGTTTATAATGTTGTTCTAACGTTCCTGGGACTTATTCCTGTGTCCCACCTGGTTCCATCTGTGTCCCTTTTGTTAGTGCTCGCCCATTTCAGCTAGTCTAGTTTTGTCTTACATAAATTTGGAGCATTTTGAATGTCGTGATTATGTCTCTCTTCAAGTTGTGTGGTGCAAGGGAATGTTCCGAGAGAATTTTTTTTTTTTTGGGGGGGGGAGGGGGCAAAGAAGACGGAGAGGTGAAGGTGAATGAAAAGGTTTAGAAATGTGGGATACATAGTGAGTGATGATAGCAAGCGGACTGTCCGCCTTGCTGACACCATGTGTGCTTGGTAGTTAAGTTTGCTTTCTTTTTAGCCTTTGGACTAAGATCAAAGTGTAACAGGAGGATAATGCAAGAGAGCGTGGAGCATGGATGGGAGAGTGTAATGAGAGTGGAAAGGGCTGCTGAGCGTGGGAGAGGTGGGGAGAGTCAGGGAAAGAATGGGCTGAAATGAGAAGCAGCGGCCACGGAAGGGGGGGGGGGGGGGGGGAAGGGAGGAGGGAAGGGAGGGGGGGGGGGGTAAGGGGGTGGGAGCAGTAAGGAGTAGTGTTAGTGCGGGCTCGTGTTGGCTGAGTGGGTCGTAAGAGAGAAGGATGGAGGTCCTTCACGGCCCTGCGTCCTGCTACACACCCCGTCCCCCCACGGGCCCTCAACCCCCACCCCCCCTCCCCCACGGGCCCTCAACCCCCACGGGCCCTCAACCTCCCCCCCTCCCCCACGGGCCCTCAACCCCCCCCCCTCCCCCACGGGCCCTCAACCCCCCCCCCTCCTCCATCTCCCCATCCCCAATATTCCTCGCCATCCTGCAGGCCACTCGCCGCTTCCTGCCAATATCGATGATGGGCGCATGCACTCTGGTCCTCTGTACTCGTTCCGTTTGTACCCATGCCATCTGTACTCGGAGCGTCTGAGCTCCACCTGTAATCGGGTTCTTGCACTTGGAATGTCTTCACTCGTTCCGCCTGCGTCCAGCACCACTACCAACATCCAGGAAACATATCATAAATTTACTTCTCCATCTGCTTCCTGTGTACACCGAACTTTTGGTTCCCTCTGAGAAAAAAACATTCCATTTGATTTGCTCTCTGGCGGCCAAAGTTGCCGACATCTGAGCCCCGCAGCACTTTACATGCACTGGTTCGTGTCCGCTGGTGAATATATATTCCAAGCACTAATTGTTTGTGAGCTGAAGGGATTGAACATTTTAGATTAATCAGTATTTATCACTTTCAAATTTCTTACTTAAACTATCTAAGAAAATAATTGGCAAAAATCCCAAAGAGTAGATGGAAGCATCAGCCTTAATGAAACGACGTGTATCTGTACTCACCTAATTTTGCATTAAAACATTTAGCTTCAGCTCTTGAACCCCGCTTTTCCAATATCTAAAGGTTGCCTAAAGCAATGACTCGCCACATAACTTTCTATCACATACAGACGAGGAGTCACAATAACGTGGCTGAAATAATCGACAATCAATTGACTTGAGAATGGTTCAGGACGGGCCGAAACGTCGTCCCTTCACTTTCTATTGTGTTTCTATCAGATCTATTTTGTAAATCCCTGAATGGAGTGCGCTGCTATAATCTGCACGTTTACTTGATTACGTTTTTCTTCTAACGCTATAAAAATGCTTTCTCACATCTCTATGGCTCATCAAAGAAAATTTAAAATATTATTTTTCATTGTATATTACAATGAACGCAGTTAATGAATAATAAATGTAAAAACGCCACTGGGACATACACGATGAATAAAGCAAGTAAAGATAAATTAGAGATAATCCCAGCTGAGGAGATAACAGAAATACTGAAAAATCCCAATAATAAACATATCCGCTCCTCCTGAGATGCATATAACTGTCGGAGGAAAAGTAACGACGGTAGCTACAGGAGGGAAAATATACCAGAAAAAAGCTGAACGAAAGAGGAACAGGAGGAATATAATAATAATAATAATAATAATAATAATAATAATAACTCGTCTATGATATGATAAACATTTGTGAGACGTTAAAAACAAGTTATGCGAAGACAAAAATCATAATACCAAGGAGAGAAATGGGAGGAAATGCAGGTGGAAACACCAGGCCAGAAGGAACGGTCTTATCCAGGATTGTGGGATGGGGCGAGGGTGGGGGGGGGGGGGGTGAGAGTGAGAGAGAGAGAGAGAGAGAGAGAGAGTACCAGTGTGACAATACTTGTTATAGTTACTACAGGTCGTGATAGCTGAAATAAGAACCATGATCCAACTGGAAACCGAGAGCTTCAATTCAACCTTCGGAGGTCGTGGGAGGTGGACATAAGCGGAATCGATTCATCATCAGTAATCTTCATCCGTATATGTGGCTCCGAGTCCCGTTGGGCTGTTAAGATAAGCTGCAGATGTTTTATGTAAAGCTTTCCTAGGTGTTATCACTTATTCTATGCTTGTTAACTACTTGCTCGCCAGGAGAGCAGTGCGGCTGTTCGCACGTAGTGTGAGCGCTCACCGAGAAAATTAGAATCATCTCGGAGAAAAAGAAGCAAGATGTGTTGTCGCAAGTTGTGAGAACGTCGTAACTAATATGGTGTCGCTGTCCATAGATTGGGCCAGGATGCCTGTTAGGCTTAGGCAGGCCCTCGTATACCAACTACCAACCTTTCCCAAGATGAGACCTATAACAGTTACTTAATTCCAAGGTACCTATTTCCTGCTAGGTGAAGAGGTTCATCTAGCCTGTATTTAGGTGAATACAGGCATCACGTGACAGTAAAAGTTGCCCAAATCTTTCTGTTCCGCCCGGAGACCGAACCCGGGATCCACGGCTGAGCCGAGGACACATGGAACCTAGAGGAGACTGTTCGGCCTTAAGATCAAGCTGTTTGTTCAGTGAGGCGTTGTTATGACTTGTTGACACAAACATGGGTAATTCTGACGTCACAGATGGTCATTAGATTGAAGTAGTAGAACGGAAAATTTAAGCTTTGCACGTATCCCCAAGGAAGCAAACACGGGTTTTTGTGTTTTCCCCAAGGAAACACACACACGCAAACTTTTACAACGAACAAAACTGAACACCAAGATGTTGACACTGACCGTGGGAATGTGCTACGAGGTGTAACTACTACTGATACACATGTAAACTCATAACATTTAACACGTCACTGTACCTAAAGATACGATTTGTATACTTACAGCATTGAAACAAGTCAATGAACTGACATCTGATGTTTAGTTATCTGGAAAACGTCCACATCAGATTACTGCCACTCACTTTCTCTGAGAAGTCTTACAATGGCTACCATCACGCATCGTAATTTTTTATTTTAAATTCACAAATCCCAAACAAACTTGTGGACGATGACGAACAATACGACGACACTTGTGTTTCAAGCAAGACAGTGAGCTGGCTGCCTCACCCGTTCACTACAAGGAGGTCACCTACCCGTATATGCGGTTCTCCCAGGAGTTCTCGTAGCTCGTCCACCTCAGGAATCATGGCGTCGTCGTAGTCTCGCATGAGGTCGACCACATCTCTGGCAATCTCTACGGCGTCCTGGGCCACACCTCCGCGACCCGGGGACACCGAGGCACTGTGAATCCGGTCGTACAGCTGTGGGAGAAAGAGAGAGAGAACATGTTACTGCGGCTACTAACGAATGGGAAGCAAGGTAAAGTCAGGTAAGTATGAAGGGAAGCAGAGGAGATGGGGATGGGAGCAGAGGGGAGATGGGGGAAGGGAGAAGGTAGGGGATGGAAGGGGAAAAGACAGGTAGAAGTGGAATGGGAGCAAAGTAGCTAGAATTTCAATGATGTGGAAAAGGCATAACAGCTGGCAAGATAACTGGGCCAGGCATTAATGAAATAAGAAAAACACAAAAAAATAAAAAAATAGGCAATAAAAATGCAAGACGCTAGAATATTACTTCTAACATACCTGATCATTACCATTTGTACTATATCATGTTGGATCATTAATATTTGTACTTTAGCGTATGTAATCATCAATATATGTACTATATCATACAACATATACATTGAAGACCGAATTGTTGAGAAAGCAATGATTCGTAAGCCGGCGGATTACCAAACACCCTCGTTATTAAGAGTTCCTCTCTCGCACAACAATAACGGCTTCACAATGATGTTAAGCCATCACTAAACATCATCAGGTGTTGACCTCATCGGCCGGTCTCTACAGCATCAGCATCTACTGCCTAAATAAAACAGAAGTGAATAATACCTACTGGGCCGGGCAGAGGCTTAGGGCCCGCGCAGGAATAGCATTGAAAAAAGAAATGGTCTCGACAGCTGGACTCAACAATGTCAAGTCAGCGTCCCTGAGCTGAAGAGCGATTGCAGAGTGGATCCTCTCATGCAACCTTCAGCAATAACAAGACCAGGCTGTGGCCATTCGCCAGTCCTTCTCCAATCAGGACGTTCTCTCCTTTTTCCACACAGGGGGAAAAAAACTGCTTTGCCTAACCAGCAACGTTCGAACCCAAGCAACCCACCCAACCTATTGAGGCTGATACACAGAAAACGTTAATATTACGGTGCTCGATTTTTTAACTATACGTCGCATTTTTTAACGGATTGGTCGATTCCGTATACAATGTATTGGGTGAAAGGACATGTTTCTATAATAACCAGCCTAGACGCTGGTCTGTGTACACAACACAGCCAGCCTAGAGTCTGGTCTGTGTTACACAGCCAGCCAGGAGCCTGGTCTGTGTACACCGCCAGCCAGGAGCCTGGTCTGTGTACACCGCCAGCCAGGAGCCTGGTCTGTGTACACCACACCGCCAGCCAGGAGCCTGGTCTGTGTACACCGCCAGCCAGGAGCCTGGTCTGTGTACACCGCCAGCCAGGAGCCTGGTCTGTGTACACCGCCAGCCAGCCAGGAGCCTGGTCTGTGTACACCGCCAGCCAGGAGCCTGGTCTGTGTACACCACACCGCCAGCCAGGAGCCTGGTCTGTGTACACCACACCGCCAGCCAGGAGCCTGGTCTGTGTACACAGCCACCCAGGAGCCTGGTCTGTGTACACCGCCAGCCAGGAGCCTGGTCTGTGTACACCGCCAGCCAGGAGCCTGGTCTGTGTACACCGCCAGCCAGCCAGGAGCCTGGTCTGTGTACACCGCCAGCCAGGAGCCTGGTCTGTGTACACCGCCAGCCAGCCAGGAGCCTGGTCTGTGTACACAGCCAGCCAGCCTGGAGCCTGGTCTGTGTACACCGCCAGCCAGGAGCCTGGTCTGTGTACACCGCCAGCCAGGAGCCTGGTCTGTGTACACCGCCAGCCAGGAGCCTGGTCTGTGTACACCGCCAGCCAGGAGCCTGGTCTGTGTACCCCGCCAGCCAGGAGCCTGGTCTGTGTACACCGCCAGCCAGGAGCCTGGTCTGTGTACACAGCCAGCCAGGAGCCTGGTCTGTGTACCCCGCCAGCCAGGAGCCTGGTCTGTGTACACCGCCAGCCAGCCAGGAGCCTGGTCTGTGTACACAGCCAGCCAGCCAGGAGCCTGGTCTGTGTACACCGCCAGCCAGGAGCCTGGTCTGTGTACACCGCCAGCCAGCCAGGAGCCTGGTCTGTGTACACAGCCAGCCAGCCAGGAGCCTGGTCTGTGTACACCGCCAGCCAGGAGCCTGGTCTGTGTACACCGCCAGCCAGCCAGGAGCCTGGTCTGTGTACACCGCCAGCCAGCCAGGAGCCTGGTCTGTGTACACAGCCAGCCAGCCAGGAGCCTGGTCTGTGTACACCGCCAGCCAGGAGCCTGGTCTGTGTACACAGCCAGCCAGCCAGGAGCCTGGTCTGTGTACACCGCCAGCCAGGAGCCTGGTCTGTGTACACCGCCAGCCAGGAGCCTGGTCTGTGTACACCGCCAGCCAGGAGCCTGGTCTGTGTACACAGCCAGCCAGCCAGGAGCCTGGTCTGTGTACACCGCCAGCCAGGAGCCTGGTCTGTGTACACAGCCAGCCAGCCAGGAGCCTGGTCTGTGTACACCGCCAGCCAGGAGCCTGGTCTGTGTACACCGCCAGCCAGGAGCCTGGTCTGTGTACACCGCCAGCCAGCCAGGAGCCTGGTCTGTGTACACCGCCAGCCAGGAGCCTGGTCTGTGTACACAGCCAGCCAGCCAGGAGCCTGGTCTGTGTACACCGCCAGCCAGGAGCCTGGTCTGTGTACACAGCCAGCCAGCCAGGAGCCTGGTCTGTGTACACCGCCAGCCAGGAGCCTGGTCTGTGTACACCGCCAGCCAGGAGCCTGGTCTGTGTACCCCGCCAGCCAGGAGCCTGGTCTGTGTACACAGCCAGCCAGGAGCCTGGTCTGTGTACACAGCCAGCCAGCCAGGAGCCTGGTCTGTGTACACCGCCAGCCAGGAGCCTGGTCTGTGTACACCGCCAGCCAGGAGCCTGGTCTGTGTACCCCGCCAGCCAGGAGCCTGGTCTGTGTACACAGCCAGCCAGGAGCCTGGTCTGTGTACACAGCCAGCCAGCCAGGAGCCTGGTCTGTGTACACCGCCAGCCAGGAGCCTGGTCTGTGTACACCGCCAGCCAGGAGCCTGGTCTGTGTACCCCGCCAGCCAGGAGCCTGGTCTGTGTACCCCGCCAGCCAGGAGCCTGGTCTGTGTACACAACCAGCAATGTCAAGAACGAGATCATAAGATCCAAATTTAAAACAAGAATGTCAACCACCATCACAAAACAGACAAAAAATATAACATTGTAAGTTCAGTCTGAGGCGGCCAGGCGAGGCTATTAGGCTAAATTGGGCTTGGTACCAGAGCACCGGGCACTAATCAGAGTAAAATACGCGTGTTGGCCCAGGAAATTACCCAATTTAATCTGAGTGATCCTCCCCGACGGTAAATACAGGGTGACTAGCGGTTATTACTGCACTGTAAGCAAAGATGGCCAGTGTTGTGTTACGCCAAAATGCGCTACTAATTTATAGGGAGCATTTGAGAAAATTAAATATGATATTAATATCGAAGTATTACGTTGATTTATTCATAGTGAAGAGCGATATATTTACCGTACATTTATATTTTGTGTTTTCGGGATTACTGAACACTATTATCTTAGATTGAGTTAGACGAGGTTAATTAGGTAAGGTAGTTTAATATTTCCTCTAGTATACAAAATCGCACATCTGAATTCCTGTATTTTTTTTAATTATCAGGGGAAAGCGCCAAGTCATTACGATTTTATAGCACTTTTAAGGGGTCAGGATAAGGATATGGGATGGGACGGAGGAAATGAATGGTGCCCAACCACTTGGACGGTCGGGGATTGAAAGCCGACCTGCATGAAGCGAGACCGTCGCTCTACCGTCCATTCAAAGAGGATGGGTTGAAATCCTGCAAGTGACATCCAATTAAGCCACGCAGTTTTCTAGCCGTATATAGGCTATGTTATGAAGACCCTATATGCAAGTCCTACAACGCCCTACAGACCTGTATAAAACAAATCAGAGTGGCCACATAGGCATGACTCCCAGTAACACAGCACCACATTAGACTGTATCCAGACATCACCCAGCTGAGTTGTCCAGTAGCGGGAAGACAGCTAAGGCATGTCATCAAATATATACAAGAAAAAGGACAAGTAAGAGGAAGACAGAGGAAGACTGGCGTCACTGACAACCATACGACCCAAGTACATTAAATATTATTAAAGAACCAACTAGTTGAACATCTCGGGGGAAAAATGTAAAGAAATTACCAATGCGGATTTAATGAAGGGAAATCGTACTTAACTGGTGTCAAACTAAGTCATTTAATGAAGGGAAATCGTACTTAACTGGTGTCAAACTAAGTTGACGACATTCAGGCAAGGCAACGAATGATGGTATGTTGAAACCTTCGAAACTGAAAATCCTTTCACAAAGTGTACTATAGAAACTTATGAAACAGGCCAGAGTAGATGAGAGAGCGCTAATATGTGGGGAGAAAGTACCTACTAGACAAGATGCAGTAGTCAAAGAAGAAGAACTTAAATTGATGGAGTAACAAACAGGGTCACACAAGGATCTGTTATAGGACTTATCCTGAACTTGATCAGGATAGGCTCCAAGATGTAATATTTTTCAGTTAACCCAAAATGAATGAGCCGAGTTGGGACAGAATAATAATACTCCACCATGACCAAGACATCCTGCAGAGTTGATCCAAGGAATGGCTACTGGAATTGACCACCAGGAACTGTAAGGTGATAACAATGGACAGGGGACCAACACGACGGTACACAGTGACAGAGAACCACCTCTCAAACTCAAAAGTAAAAGTAAAGCTGGTATAATGCAAGACGTAGTAAAGTAGCACACATAACTATGATAACATCATGACAAAACATTCAGAAAACTGTACAACACGTATATGAGACCAGTCCCAGATAATACAGCCCAGAGCTGGACACCACTACCCCCCCCCCCCCCCCCACCACCAACCTCAAAAATGCATATGTGTGAAAACGTGCAGACGTTTACAACAAGGTTTGCTAAACATTTTGCAGCCTATCATCAAAACAAAAGACAGACGGGTTCACAAAGTTCAAGTCAAGTACTGATATCACAATTACATTCGTCAGTATCTGACGTGTCATCTACTTGACCATGGTT